TTCCTGAACTCCTGCTCCTTAAACAATAACTTAAAACTATTTTTATAGGACCTAACTCCTGGTAGTGTGGAGGAAGCAGAGGAAGCAGAACCTGATGATGAATTCAAGGATGCAATTGAGGTCTGTGGTTTCAGGATCTAGATTGGTCTGTCATGAGAAAAATAAATCAGTTTACCCCTACCCAGTGCTCTCCAGAGATGTTGGACTTTAACTCCAAGTTCTTGGCCATGTTGTATGTGAATTGTGGACATTAAAGTCCAATATCTCTAGAGAATACCAGGTTGGGGAAGACTGGAATAAGGAAATATTGATAACCCAGTAGATTAAACATGACATTTGGACCGGGGTATTAGGTGAGCCCTATTGGTTGGTTTGTTGATGCTTTTCATTGATTAAGATGGAATTATCTATTTGAGCCCTTGGCACATATTAATAGATTGTTGTTGAAATTTCTTTTTCAAATTAATTTGTGATTCTTCGTAACTTTGGTTTTAAGTTCTCATTAATTGTCCAGAATTGAGGTAGAGAAATGAGTGGCTAAAATAAATAAATAAATTCACCCTTCTTGTTCTTAGGTTAGTGAGAGGTTCAAGTTAGGTCAAGTTCTTTACCTATGATGTAAAATACTTTTTATATGTGCAAGAAAGAAAAGGGACCTCTAAATAATATGCTGTCCTATAAATAGAAAGGGATAAATTTAAAGACATGATACTTGTATTGGGCTGTACTGTTTTCTCTCTTTTGGCCATCTTCTCTTGTCTTTTGTCTTTGCTGCAAGAACAGGAGACTCAGCTGCTTGTAATGGTGAGTGCAAGAACTGGGCTGCTCAGTCCTGAGCGTAAATTCCCCTTTTGTTTTATTGTTTGTGAATCCTAACATCTTAAGAATCATTCTATGCAATTTTTTATCCACTCTTTCAAGTTTAAGGATTACAGGATCCAATCTGGGTTGGTCACCGGGACCAGAAGTTTAGTCTTCTGAGCTTTTGGACTTGTGCTGGAGCCTATCCTCAGAGAACTTCTCTTTCACAAGGTGTGTGAGAAAGTTCTGGTGAGAGAGAAGTTCTTTGAGGATGGGCTCCAGCACGAGTCCGAAAGCTCGGAAAACTAAACTTCTAGTCCCGGTGATCGACCCAGATTGGATCCTGCAATATTACCCTGGGACACATACATTTGCCTTTATTCGTTTGAGCATTACCTTTAAAGTTTTTGTGCCACCCCATCCTTTCTCCAGGCTTGGTCCAGCATTTCCTAGAGTTTGGAACTGTTCTTCTGGATTGTATTTTCCAGGATGTCCTTATCTTTATGCCTTAGAGCATTTCCCACACAAGATGTATACACCGCCTTCCTCATAATCTCTCTTTCTGTCTACCATAGGAGGAAGATGACATCTCTCAGGGCTCAGGAGAGTTTGAGCTTGGCCTTCCTGACAACTCCTTTATGAGCAAGAATGAAGTGATTCGTAGCAAGGTGTCACGGTTGACAGAACGGCTGCGCAAACGCTACCCAACCAACAACCTTGGTACTGGACTGAAAGGGGAAGTGATTGAAGGTTATTCGTAGAGGTGCATATTGTTGGGAATGAAGCAGGATTATTCAAGAGTATTGGCAGAAGAGAGGGCTTGATCCAAAAACTACTGCAGAGGAAATTAGCACTGAGTAATTTTACATGGGTCATGACAGAAAAAAATACCATCCTGACCACAACTATGTATACAAAAATATCAGGGCCAAGAAAAAGTAATCTTCAGTGTTTTTTGGTATAGGGGTGGGCAACTTTTTATTGGCCAGGAATCACATATAGCTCTTCCTGGTTTCATTGGTTCCCAACGGCCACAAGAAAATATTTTTAGCTTTTACCTGCTTTCAAGTATGTGTGCAGTTATGTTTTAAAATAAAAAAGTTACTTTAACTCTCTTTAATTCATCAGTTTCCACTGCATCCAAACTTAATCTTTTCTAAGTTCACCTGCTTTACTAGTCATTTCTTATAAAAAAAAAGTTGTACCACTAAATTTCACCAACATTGTATTAGAAACTTGGGGTGCAAAAAGAGGCTGGGCACTGGGTCCAAAAATGTGTGGATGTCAGATAATGGAGTCAGGGTGTAAAATTAATTTTTAAAATCAAACATGATTTTAAATTAATTTAAAATTAATGTTATTAATTATATTTAATTGATTTATACTTAATTGTCTTCTGAGAAAGCAATTTGACCAGAATCATTCAGTAAGATGAGAATTTTCTACCGATCTGACTCTATTTCATCTGTTAAGATCTGTTGCCCTCTATGTCTTTGGTTCCTCCTGAGTGTTTTAAGGTTTGAGTGTGGGGAGGGGGGTATTTAACCAATGCTAATTTCCATGTATATATAGAATTTTTACATTTCCACACCTGGCTCAAGGTTTCAGGTTGAAGAATAGAGCTTATTTATTCAAAGTGTTTTGTTTTTGTTTTTGCTGAATCCAAATTCAGATTCTTGCATAGGATTCTCATTCTGAATTTCTTGATACAAACTGACTCCGGACTAGTCTAGTTGAATGTGAACTAGACTTGATTTTTGTGAGTTATGTGTGAATCCAGTCATCAATGGCATGATGGAACTAAGGAAGTCCTAAGGATGGACTTCCGGACCGCGCCCCCCCGCCGCAGGGAGACGGAACCGCCTAGATGGTTCCGTCCCAGGCGACTGATGGACCCAGAAAGGTTCCTGACGGAGCTTGGGCCTTATCCGGAGGATCTGGTCCACGACTCGGCGGAAAATCAGGCGGCGGCTTGGGAGACAACTGCCGCTGCTGCATTGGACCGATTCGTGCCTTTGCGGCCTCTGACCCGGCGTAGATCTCGACTGGCTCCCTGGTTTACCGGGGAGCTGAGAGAGATGAAACGCCGGAAAAGACGCCTAGAGAGCTGTTGGAGGGCCAGCCGAACCGAATCCGCTCGAACACAGGTAAGGATACATGTTAGATCCTACCTAGTGGCGATGAGAGTGGCTAGGACTAACTACTA